CTGGGACATTCTGAACGGTCCATTCCTCATTAACAACTGTATTCCTTTGGCTCTTCAATTCGGGGTCTGGTGACAAGTTAAAGGGAAGGTCTTCAAGGTCTGAACTGTTACAGTGCCCAATGCTTGAAGTCGTGCTAATTGAATCGTCTCCATTGTTTTGCTGTTCCATCATTTCTCTCTCTAATTTGTGTCCTAATGCTTCATCACTCTTCCTCTTTGAATTTTTCATGGGGCTTCCTCCTCTCTCTGGGGATAAGGTGATCAGTTTCTGAAAGAATTCTGGAGACACACTCAAGTCTTTTGACATATGTCTGGTAAATCGCAGAGGTGTTATTATAGATTTTTCCTTCAGGCCTTTCTTCTTTTTTGATACAGGAGTATCACATGCACTAGATGAATCTAAAGAATTGTCAGCATCTTTCTTGTCATTATTTGTGGCAGAATTAACTTGCATATCACTACTGGAATTGAGATCTGAACTTCCAACTGATGCATTTGCTTCAGAAACTTGGTAGTGATCTCCACTTTTGGTGAGTTTTAATTTCACGCCTCTTCTCTTTCTCTTTGCTGTCCTGCCCCGAGGTTTTTCTTCATTTCTTCCGGCTTCTGTTTGACAAGTTGTACTTTTTGGAGCATCACTGTCTATATCTAGCTTAGAATTCTTGCTCTTGTTAGCTCTTGGTTTGACTCTCTTCCAGTCATTTGGTGTCTCTGGTCTTTTCCGTACTGAAGTTTCTGTAGTAAGTCTTGTTACATTTTCAGCTTCTGCAGCTTGTTTGTGTATGGGAGAGAGATAAATATCAATTTTCTGTTGCTTGCACCTATCTGGAGTGCTTACTTTAGATAATGGAGAATCCTGTAGATCAAGTTTACTAGATTCTACCCCTGCCTTCTTAACATCATTTTCAACTGATACAGTATTACTTTTATTGTTATGGGGTAGATTTTCAACATTTTTCAAAGGCATCAATTCCGAGTCTGCTTTCAGAGGAGATATGAAATCATCGTCGTCTTCAAATATCCTCCTCCTCTTTGAAGACGGTGCATCAGCCTTCTTCTCGACAGTATCAACAGGTGACGTTACATGAGTTTCAAAGATATAATCCTCATCCTCACTACTGTACTCTTTGAATGAGGGAATTCTTCTGACACAGCTCCTCTTGCTTGTTCTTTCTTCAGTTTTTCTTTTTGGTACCTCTGCCTGTTTCCTCAGACTCGCCCTTCTATCATTCCCCTTTCTCCTTTTGAAGTCCTGTCTATTACTGCTGCTCAGTCTCCTTTTAATATTCTCTTGATTGACTGTCTCCTCAACCTCATCATCACTTTCAAATATCTTCCTCTTGGTAGTTTTCTTGCTTTTTTTGTCTGAGTCTCTACTTTCAGGCTGATTAATTAAGGAATTATCACATGAGGGTAAACTTCCAGGTGATTTACTTACAGGTTTTGGCTTATCATCTATCACATCATCCATATGGTTAACATTTATCACATCTCCCTCCAGTAACACTGTTTTTTCTCCTTCTTCCAGTTCTGGCTTCTCACTCTCACTAGCTATTTTTTCTGCTGCATCTTTTGTGTTAAGTACTTCACCTGGTGCTTCAGAATCTTCCTTGTCATCTTCAATACGAACACTAAATGAGTCCCCAGCCTTGCTAGTTGAGGACTCTTCACTACTGTGCAATAATGATTTATTCCCAGATCTTCTTGTTTCTCTTCTACATATTCTTTCAGGTTTAATTACAGATTTGATTTCCTCTTCCTGTCCACCACTATCACTGCTGACTTTTTTCTGTAAAACATTCTCTGGTAATCTTTTAAACTGTTCCACCTGCCTTTCTGTTTTCTCCCCTTCATCTTTTTCTAAGTTATTTTGGCACTTTTCTTCTTCCAATGATTCGGTTTCTTCAGATTTATCCACTGATGACTTACTCACCTCTGAAGGTTCTGAATGCACAAGTGATCTTCTAGTTCCTCTCTTGAGTGTCATATTGCATTCATGATCGGATCCTTGCTCCACTTTTTCCAACACCACAACCTCGTCTTTCTTTGTTTCAATACATGTTGATTCTTCTGACACAGCTACTGCCTGAAGTGTTTCCATCTCTTTCTCATTTACCAATGATCTAACTAACTTTTTACCTCTTCTTTCACTTTCCATTTCTTTTGCATCTTTTTCTGGAGATTTGTTTGTCAATGTTCTTTGTACTTCAAGAGTTTCTGTAACATGGGATTTTTCTGATTCACTTAAACTGTTTTCATCTGAGTCAATAGATAAAGCTGCACTTTCTTTGTCTGCATCGACAGTAATCTCACTTTCAACACTCTCCTTTACCTGATCATCATCTTTTAATCTTTCCTCTTCCACAGTCTCATCCATGGCAACATTTGGCTGGGATTCTGCACTGTTTTCAAGGCTTTTAAATTGTTGGTTCATTCTCTCTATATACCTCTTCATTTTTGGGTCCAAAGTAATTTCAGGACTAGCAAGAAGATCCTCACTACATGGTTTACTGTCAATATTCTTTTCAGGGGTTACTTGTTCATTCAAGAAAGCATTTAAATCAAGCAAAGGAGTTTTTGTTTCTCCTAAAGATGGGACCAAGTCTTCATGCAAACTATGGCTTACAACAGGAGACTGATTACTTGCTTGTTTGGTAGGACTGGAGAGAGAACACAAGATACCATTGATATCTAGCTTGAAAAAGTCATCATCTTCACTGATTTCTGCTGCTGCTATCTCAGAGCTTTCTTCTTGTTCTTTTCCAAACATAAGTGTATTCATCAATTCAACATCCTCTGGGGTAATACCCTTTAAAGTTTCAACACTAATGTCTGGTCCATGGTCTGTGTTTCCTGATAAATTCTCGCTTTCACCCTCTATACATGCATCCTCTGCCAGTGGATATTTTTTCTCTGGAGTGTAAAGTAGGACTGAACTTGTACTATGGCTTCTGCTGCCTTTTACTGGTGATAGAAGTTCAATTTCACTTTCTCCATTACAGACAAATGTACCAACTTTCACAGGAGTACCTATATCTACTTTGGAAGGAGTTTCAGGAACTCTCTCACTGATGTCTTCTAAATTTAATTTGGATACTTTCAGGCCTGCTTTACCATCCATACCCTTTAATGGTGTTTTCGCTGGAGTCTGCTTTTCTTTCTTTCCCGTAGTAGCAAATATGTCAGGACTCTGAATATTGGCTTTAACAGGTGTTTTTCCAGGAGTCTTGGAGGGAGTTTTCAGAATGCTTTTGGGAGTTGGAGGATTACTAGACAATATTCCCAACTTGTTTTTGGGAGTTTGTGGATTATTGGCCATTAGAACACGTTTACTTGGAGTAAGTGTCAGGCTGAATTGCACCCTTTTGCTTGGTGTCATAGTGGATAGGGATGTATCAAATAGTGCTTTATTCTGGCTACCTTGTTTGGGTGTGCCAGGAACCGTTCCATCAACAGAGAAAATTTTCTTACTGAAAGGACTATCATTTACTTTCTTTGGGGTACAGAATAATGGCTCCTCTTTGCCTGACTCAATACGAAGGCTCCTCCTGGGAGATTTAGGGACTAAAATTGTCTTTGTGGGAGTACAGAGCGAGAGGGCCCTTTTTACAGCCTTTACAGGAGTTCGTTTCAAATTCCTCCTAGATAATGAATCTTCATAATCTCTATTTAACTGCTGTGCACGAGAATTTTTAGCAGGAGAGTCAGAGAAGACTGATGATGACTGTGACGTATTATTGGACACATTATTACCTGAACTTACTGTTTCTGAACTTTCCTCAACTTCAGTGCTTGTATCCAACCCATAGTCCAAAACACGTCTTTCTGGAGTTCCAGCATCATTACAATCCTTCTTGTTACTGGTGGACTCTTGACGTGAAAGATCCGATTGACTTGCTGACAAGATTTCTGAGAACAAGAAACTAGCGTCTCCCACACTTTGGAAAGCACTGGAATCTAAGCTCCGTCTTTCAGAATGGCTGCGGATGTGGTCTGCAAGCAACTGTGTCTTACCACGTTCCCAGTTTCGGGACCGTGCACCAGAGTAGAAAGAGTTTCTGCGAGTAATTGTCAAACTTGCTTGCAGCCTTCGGGGTGTTGTTTTGCTGACTCCTGTGAAATGAAAAGGTAAGAGGAATTATTTTTCTGATTATATGACATCATATAACATATATATATATATGAATGAGGAATAGGGAGGGAAATGGAAAGGCGATAGGAGGAAGCAGAGGCGAGAGGGAAGGATATAGAGGGAAGGGACAGGAAAAGATGGGATGAAAGCTGGAGAGGGAGGAGGAAAGAAGAAGGAAGGGAAAGATAGAAAGACAACATGTGGAAAAGTAGTGGGAAGCTACAAAAATGCTGACACATACTTTTAATATCTGGGCTCTCAGTGACCAATGTAGTGCCTGTGCTTTTCCGAATCCTTCTTTTGTTAAACATAGTCTGTCCAACTTTATCTCCAGGTGTTTCAGGTACAATTACACCTCCTGTGAAGATATAAAAAAATCAGCTTTACAGTTCTGTAAGACACTGAAATTAATACAACAGAGGTTACTTTCAATGTTGCCTTACTTCTAAACATCAAAGCTCACAGGAAAAGGATATAAAGACTGATAAATTACTGGAGTACTATTCATATCTAGCTTTAAAACTGTTGCATATAAATGAAAAAAAATTAATAGGTAAATTATTTCATCTGAAATCATTATTTTTAATTTCAAAACCTAAATACAACCCATTTTCAGTTCACATTATCTATAATTACTGTAGCCTGGTTGTATTACTAAAAGCAATAACCCCCCCCCCCCCAAAACAAAACAAAACAAAAAAAATAATAATAATAATAATAATAAAAATAAATAAATAAATAAATAAATAAAATAATAAAATTAAATTAAAAAATAAAAATAAATAAATAAATAAAAAATAAATAAATAAAATAAAAATCATATGGATTAATAAGAGCTTACAATGAAATGGTACACAATATGAGATAACAAAGTTAGGCTCACTTCTTTCTCTTTATGGGGATGCTAAATGAAATCAATATATTACTGTCCCTAACAGGACTCTTACACAAATACCTTTCTTTGATTTTGGAGTCTTCATGCCCTTTTCTGCAGTGCGCATCCCCTTGACAGGAGTTTTATGAGACCCTTTCGATTGTTTCATTAATATTCTGCTTTTCCTTGGGGTGATAGCAGTGGACTTTCTGTGCTTCTTCCGAGGGCTGCGTCTCAGTTCTGCCACGGGTACCGATCCAACGGTCATTGATCTCTGCAACTTGGGCTTCGGAGCTGCACCATCGCTCAGGTCGAAGAGGTTGCGGCACACTTTTTTAATGTCGTTGTCGGTTGACTCAGAAGCTGTTTGAAAGAAATTTTTACTTAGAATGATTTATGCACTTTGTCATGTATCTACATATATAACTAAGTATAACTATTTTTAAATATTCCCCTTAACTATCAAAAATATATGTACAATATGATAATGATATTTAGCCTCTTCTCTGCTACTTCTGCCATGACAACACTAATCATATCTTTTGATCTTCATGACTGCCACTCTTCTTGAAATTCAACAGAAAACAAGTTTGTCTATGGCTACTGCCAAGGAGTCAGTTATTAGTCTTACCTATCTCACCTGTTTACCCTTTTCCTCAACTTTTGGAAGGTTTTTTTTTGCATTATTTCATTGTCTTTAATGTTATCAAGATTTTAATAACAATCTAATAATTATAACATCAATAACAATAACAGTAATGATGTCAACTGTATTTAAAAAGGAAAACACATTTTCCCACCAATTCAAGGAATGGGGAAATCAGAATTGGTCACTCGGGCTACTGACAGACTCCTTGCTGGCTGAGCACAAAATACTACAGAGGACAGAACATAAATCTGGGGCAGCTGGGTAAAGCCATGTCTCTTTTGTCTCAGCACCTTTGAGATTCAGGTACCACAGTCTGGCTGTTCTGTTTGTCCAAGTCATGGGCATCCTTCAGTAGCACGCCAGTAAGGTCTAGGAGCTAATGTCATTTATGCCTTACAGCACCCCATCCAATCATGTGAACAAAGGTGGGAAGGATATTGGGTATCCTTATGCTGTATTATCACATTTTATCCTTCTGTCTCTCACTCCTTTCCTGACCTATTCCACTGATGTTTATGCTAATTAACTTTTACTAACCTTTATTTGCAACAGGAGCTGGGGGAGCTGCTGCTTGTTTAGTTTGCTCACTAGTGGTTCTTCTCAGTGCCCTAGTTACCACTGGTATGACAATGGTTCTTTTGCTTGTCTCTTTTAGGCTTGGATGACGTGAAGACATTCTCCGCCCTTCTCGTGATTTGCCCGAGCCTGGGTTCTCAACTGAGCCACAGGTACTGTCATAGCTAACCACAGAACTTGCCTGTGTAAAAGTAGATTACTGTAATATCTGCTTTATATATATATATATATATATATATATATATATATATATATATATATATATATATATATATATATATATATATATATATATACATATATCACAATGAAAAACGATTGTTATATAGATTTTTTTTTTCATGAACCCTTTTGCAAACTGCTTTTGTAAAATTACATAAGGAATAGCAAAAACTAACAGAAAAAAGTCAAAACACCATCAAAAGAACTTACATGGGATTTCACAGAATTGGGCCTCGTGTCGGCCACAGAACTCAAGTCTCCTGTGAGAATCTTCAGGGGCCCTGGGAGAGGTTGATTTAGTTCTTCATAGATTTCTACCAGCACCTCCCCAAGAGTTCCAACATAACTGTAAAAGCAAGAGAAGTGTTGTTATATAAATAGATAAGACAAGTTGACAAACAGGGAACCTAATACTAATTCATCTATATGACTCTTGATGTCCAAGCATCACACTAAGTAAGATTACCCAAATAATAAAACCTCCTCTGTGCAAAAGGTAAATAACTGCCATTGCCTTGGTTTATAGTTGAATCAGAATCTTAAACATGCTCAAAAAAAAAAAAAAAAAAAAAAAAAAAAAAAAAAAAAAAAAAAAAAAAAAAAAAAAAAAAAAAAATAATAATAATAATAATAATAATAATAATAATAATAATAATAATAATAATAATAATAATAATAATAATAATAATAATAATAATAATATTAATATTAATAATAATATTAATAATAATAATAATAATAATAATAATAATAATTATATATATATATATAATAATAATAATAATAATAATATATAAAATCTGTAACAAGAAAAGTAAAGAAGGAAAAACTTTCATGTATTCCAATTACTGATCTTTATTCTAATTTGTGAGACTTGATTTTAAATATTATCCCATACATAAAATGCTGTTTGTCTATGCCATCTTAGAATAGAACTGTGGCCTCGATGTTTCCTCCAACTTCAAAGAGTACTTAGACAATTTTGAGATGATTTAAGTTACTATCCAACATTATTTTCATTACAGTTTCCAATGACCATTACTAATCAGAATATATTGAAAATCCCAAAACTTGAAATAATTTGATTGCCACCTTGCACTTGTAAACTAAAAATGTTAGACAATATTAGACACATACAATATTTAGCATCAATGTAATTACACCTTTTCCCAAATTCCTCTCTTTTACCATGCTTGCAATCTTTATCTATAAATATAGCCGTATCCTAATGTAAGTAAATCTGAAATTTGTGTCCAAATATCTCATTTTTATATGAAATACTTATAATGGTTCTTCCAAAAGCCTTGTTAAAGCAGAGAAAAAATGCAGAGGAAAATAGGTTCTGTGCCATTTTTCTTTGTGATTTCTCAACATTCTGATTCTAGTCAGTGTGAAAATAGTGTGAAAGGTACTACACAATTTATACAACCAAACTACAATAGATCACATAAGCTTTATGCCTTACTCTATAAATGGAACTTATAATGAAACTAGATGCTCTTATGAAGCTCAGATGTCTAAAATTATTTTCACATGTCAAATCAGTAAGGTACTAATTATATTATTGAGAGGACTTCTTCATTATACTGTCATCATTTTATTTTATTTATTCTATTTTTCATTTTACTTATTTATTTACTTTTCTTTTAAAGCATTAGCTCCATGAAAAAATTGTAAACAGTACATTTTTAAACCACATAAAAATGCATGAAAATAATGAAAATACTTGTATTATGTAACCAGCTTTTGCCAACACATACTTTTCTAAGACTGTCTCCTGCAAGAAGGTGGCCATAGTAGTTGGGTTATGGCGAAGGGATATGGCCCTCAGCATCTTCACTGCCTCTTCCACATGATGCTCTCTGATGCTGCTTCCCCTGCTTTCCTCCTCCTCATCCTCCATTTGGCCACTAGACGAGTAACCTATCAAAAGTTTAAATTCTTTAGAGGGATGGCTTCCCAACATTAAATATTCACTTGAACATACATGCATCTCTTCACAATCTCAGAAGTATATGATACATTCGGGGTTTCTTACCCAAGACCCATAATAGCTCCAGGTGCAACAAAGTTTGGAGCTTATAATGGTGCAGATGAGACTCTGGAGGATGCTCATTATTGATATCAACCGTGGTTTGCATAACACCACTGCCTAACAATTTTCGCAGTCCACCCTGGAATTAAAAAGTAAACATCTGTAAAGCATTCATTTATCAAGGTTAATCAACAATCCACATGTCAATACTACTTTCATAAAAATGGGACCTTCAGCACTCATTTTTTTTGCTGCTTAGTATGGTAACACAGTAAATAACATTAGAGAAAAGAAGTCTAACCTCCATGTCTTTCCCACAGCTGTTCTTGACGTGCATGAGGGCAAGGTTAATCACAGTCTGTGCTGATGTAAAGAGGTCTGTCTCAATGCCATCACCATTGCACAGATTCTTCAGAGTTTGGATCAGCTTTTCTGTGTCCTTGAAGAGAAAAAAAAATAATGAAAGGAATTATTCATTATCCACAAAAATAAAGCAGGAAGATTTAACAGTGGTTATTACTTGCCTTCTTTAGGAAACAATCTACATACATTTTTAGACATGTTAAATATTCTATGACTTTCCCATATGTTTCCAAATGGAGTGAGAGACACCAAGAAAAGAAGAGAAAAAAAATCTTGAATAATAATAATAAAATAAATCAAATAATAAATAATAGTATTCTAAAAATTCTGACACATTTATACAGTTGGAAACAAGTGTGTAAAAACTGTAAAATCAAACATTTCTTTTACAATAATACCTACTCCCTATTCATCCATATCACTAACAACGATAAGGGTTTATCAAAATTCATTGAAGTATCAGTACTTAGAATATCCTGACTTAGACAACTTTCAACAAAAGACAAAATGCAACATTAATGATAAATAATCACACAGTATAGGATATATTATGATCATCATCATAATATTACCGACAACAAATTCAAGGATTGAGGTAAATAAGTGTGGTTAGGTGAGGCGAGTATAGAAAATTCAAGGATCAAGAGGGTCCACTAAGAAGAAAAAGAAGGTGAACAGTGCACATATAAGTGTTCATCCAGTATCAACAGGTTACATGTTCTTGAATTTGTGCAGCTGCAGTTCTTATTTTTTATGATGTTACATCTTTCAGAATGTTCAACATAGCAATATAAGCCTTGATATTTCTGAATGTTACCTTCGCAATAAGGCAAACTTTTGCATCTTGATTATTATTATTAAAGACATAATCAATCCTTTTTTTTTTGTAGAACTGATTCTTTAAGCAAATTTCTTTTTTAGGGAACAATCCAGAATCTTGTTAATGTAACGCATTCTGTATTTATCTACGTCTTGTGTTTCTATTGTAGCTGACCTTTTCTTCAAATTTAACCTTACAAGATCCTGTCAATCCTTTTTCTTGTACCTTCAGGTTGCTTCACTTTTAAAAATAATTTCAGTATTTTATCTGTATCAATTCAGTTTTCCAAAATAAATTTCACACATTCTATTAACCCAATGATTACGGATTTATGTGCTGTCACCTGTAGCTTTTTGTGAATTTTGTTATATACAGATGGCTCCACATATGCTCAGCCAGTTAGGAGTCTATCAGTAGGCCCCAGTAACCGATTCTGACTTCCTGATCAAGGAAAAGTATAACACATATAATTTCACTCACTCACACACTCACACACACACACACATTTCTATTATTTTATTGTCTTTATTGTTATTCATATTTTAATAACAATTTCATAATCAAAATAGTAATAAGAATGAAAACCATGTCAATATTAATAATATTGGAAAGAAAAACATGTTTTCCCTCAAATTCAAGGGATGGGGAAATCAGGCACAGTCACTAGGCCTACTGATACACACCTTGCTGGCTGAGCACACAGAGTCATCTGCATGAACAAAATTCACAAAAATCTACAGGGGACAGCACATAAAACCACAGGCATTGGGTTAAGATAGTAAGCCACCTATGGTTTATTTGTTGCTGAACAGTGACAGATTCAAACCACTGGAAACTGGCTTACCAAAATGACCATGACAAAGTCATTATATTATTGAAAGGGTGAAATGAAAATTATCAATGGACAAAATAAGAATCATGATACAAGGGTTTCATAAAATTTTGAACAGATCACATTACAAGGATTAGAACAATATACTAGTTAGTAAAAATAAGAAAATCAGAGATATCTAACATGATCCTCTGCTCAGTAAGCTAATTTAATTTTAGGTAAATGTTCACAGTAACTTAAACCATAAATAGAAACACAGCCATACCTGAATATCAGACACCTTATTCAAAACTTGTGACTCAAGGGCCTGAGACTTCCGAGCCTGTTCCGAGGCCTGCGCTGCCCTGCGCTCTGTTGCTTGCACACGTTCTTCTTCTTCTGCACGTTGTTCCTGGAAATAGCATGATATGTTTAAAGTATTTTGAAATTCCCATATGTAAAATTAATTTTTACCCTTTTCTTGTATACATAGAACTTCAAAAAATACTGATAAATAGATAACAACAAAAATAGTAATGGTAGTAAATACCCATGCATGGGGTTATGGGAGTGTTGCAGGTTTGGGATTACTATTGTAAAAACCCTAGGAACTAAAGTTTTAAAACACACCTTTACTTTCTGTTGAGCTGTTACAATATGACTTTTCTTTACTAGCTGTTGAGCACGGCTCATGGTAGGCTTTTTAGAAGGTCCAGCTTCTTCCAATGGTTGCGTCACATCAACAAGGTCAACAGGGCCCATCTCCCCAGCTGACAGAGGACAAGGAATCTGGGGGCGGTATCTTTTCTGCAAACGCTCTTGCATTGCTTTGCGTTCCATTCTGGTAGCTCGTCTGTAAACATTCCATAAACTGTCAGCACATAATTACAAAGTCTAAAGTCAAAGAAAGAAGGGAAATGTAGGAGTCAAAGGATGGAGCAGAAGGAGCAGAGCAAAGGAAGAGGAAGAATGAAAAACAGGTAAAACACAAAAACATAATTAATCAGATTTCCTGCATTATGATTTCCTTTATTTTACACACATTATTCACCCAATGAGTGGAAACTTTGCAGTATACTACTTATCTTGTAATCTTACTTTGTTACTCCTAGGAGGGCATGAAGTATATAAAAAAAAATGTGTTAAAACTTTTCTGTTCATAAAAAAGATGTAATATTTACAACATATAAAAGACAAGCATATTTAGCCTAATGAATGGTAAAACACTCTTCTGTGTTGATACTATGGTAGAAAACCCCATAATGCACTAACTAGATTTATTGAAAATAAGACTAGAGTTACTATTATCTTCAGGGCTGAAGATAGAATGCAGGTAGTCTCCTTTTCAATAAATCTAGAGTGTGCATTGTGGGTTTTTCTACCACTTAGAATTTTAAGATCCAAACCAGAGCTATGATATTTAATACTCATTACACTTGTAATTAACATCCCACTGCTATCAAATAAATTTACTATTTACTTACTTTTTCCTGATTTGTTTCACTGCATCACTGCTTCCCTTTAAGGGCCTATACCATCTTTCTGTTTGGTGTGCAGAAAACCTCTTCGTGGTTACTACAGTCTCCCCATTCATGTGTGGAGATGCATTCTGTAAAAAAGAAAAAGAAAAAAAAAAAGAAAAAAAAAAAAAAAAAAAAAAAAAAAAAAAAAAAAAAAAAAATAAATAAACAAACAAATAAATAAACAAACAAATAAATAAACAAACAAATAAATAAACAAACAAATAAATAAACAAACAAATAAATAAACAAACAAATAAATAAACAAACAAATAAATAAACAAACAAATAAATAAACAAACAAATAAATAAACAAACAAATAAATAAACAAACAAATAAATAAACAAACAAATAAATAAACAAACAAATAAATAAACAAACAAATAAATAAACAAACAAATAAATAAACAAACAAATAAATAAACAAACAAATAAATAAACAAACAAATAAATAAACAAACAAATAAATAAACAAACAAATAAGAAAAAAAACAAATAAATAAACAAACAAATAAATAAATAATTATAATAATAAACTACCTAGATTCCAATTTGTCAGCTACAACTAATGTGTCCTAAATACCATCTTTTCACCTGTAATCAGTCTTACCTTCAGACATTTCTCAACTGTCTGAGCAACAAAATTAAGTAAGCCAGGATCAGTAATCCGGGTTTCCTGAGAAGCTGCTTGGCTATGTAGTGGGGGTGTCGCCAGACCTGACGCAGATATAACAGCAAGACAACCAACTCCCCCTGCCCATGGACACAGGACAGCAACTCCTCCACAGTTTAGTTTGAGCAGCTGAAAATATATAAAATGTTATTCACAGCCTTTATAAATTAATTCATACTTTCTTCTGAAATATGTCTATATATCAACTAATTAGCAATATTTTGTGGTTTCAAATACCTATAAAAGACTGGTAAAAATGATTACAATCATGCCAAATATATAGAATGTTCACCATACAAAAATACAACTAAATAAAAAATACTAATATCAATAATGCAACAAAAAAATCACAAAAAATGGTAAAGAAAAAACAACTAGTAACCACCCTAACAAGTATTCAATATCTTTCTTACCACTGACAGCTGATATTTTGCAAGCACACTGATCAAGGTAGTGAACACAGTGTTTGGAGCATGGCAGACATACAGATGGCCAGTTCCCCCTGCTACAGCCAATACACTCACTGCGCTTGTTCGCACTACACCAACCACTACTGCATTTCCCCATTCTTGTGAGGAACTGAAAAAAGAAAAAACATGTATATATGCAAATATATATATAATGCAAATATGCACTTGTCCACCATTTAACACCTAAACAGCACTACAGCTTATAATCTAACATAAAAGGTGGTCATTCCAGACCATTCAGGGAAAGAAAAAAGAAATGCACATAACTGTACCAATGGGTTCATTTCTATTTCTATTATAACTAATAATAATAGGATTGTATGACTGAAATCACACTTTTAAATCAAGATTTAAATTACTGATCCAAATCAAAATTTAAATCAATACTTAATTAAGTTACTCTTTAATAAGTGACTGAATTCAAGAGTTGAATTTTTCCAGAAAACAATATAGGACAAAAGTAACAGTAAAAGTAAAGTAAAGTAAAGAAAAAAAATATATATATATATATAAACTTATAATAATAATAATAACAATATAATAATAAACAAAAAAGAATAAATAAATAAATAAAACAAATACAATAAATGTCAGCAGTCCATTCACCTCCCTTGTAAATGACAAGTATATCTTACATTTAAATCAACAGCAAATAAAAATTGTACTGAATACCATAATTTCCTTTGACAAGAGATGTTGGTTGTTCAAAATTAAATGTAAAAACCTCTCACTAATTCATGATCAACAGTTTGCACAGAGTATGTGTTCACAGTTTTAAACCAAAACAAATTTTGCTGCACTTTCCATTCTACGGTAGTTCCTTAATTTTTAATATGCAAGCCTGTAAATTTAAAAAGCCTTTCAATGTTGATTACAAATCAGCTGCAGATAGTAGTTAACTTCACTGCTGCAATTACCTCATTTGAATGGGACTTTTACCATTCAACAGCCAGCAATACTCATGGTCATTGAACCCATGAACTTTGTTTGAAATATTCCCACTAGATCTCTCTTTTTTTACCAGATAGACCTACTCTATGTTTTGTGGCCAGTGACATCCTTCCTGCCATACAATTACACTGGTACTTCGTAGTTAAAATGTCAAAGTGCTACAAACTGGCACAATCAGGATACCTTAAACATAATAGAGAGATGCAGCTAAATTGCTTGACTTTGCTGATAACCCTAAAATCTATTTCAAGCCAGAGAACAAATTTTGTTCTATTAAACAATGTACTGCTTTTTTCCTGGTTATAACAAATGATATAGCTGATGATTAAGTAAAAAGTGCATAGTACAAGGAACCCATACATAATGACTTTTTAATTCTATTAAATGAAAGAATTCAGCACCTTCCATGAAATTAACAGATTCAAGGTTTTAAAAATACATATGTTAAATAACAACATTCATCCCACTGGCACATGAACCATCCACTGTAGTCTTGTTCTGTGAATTTTGTTTGTAAAAAGATAGGTTCACAGAAGTGCTCAGACACCAAGGAGTAAATTTGAAGGCTCAATGTGACCTCACCTGATTTCCCCATTCCTTGATTTTTTTCTTTAATACTATCAATATCAATATTGTTATCATCATCCTTAACATTTTGATTATCATAGTTATTAACAGTACTATCAGCAATATAAAATAAAAGTTAGTCTTTCCAAAAATCATGGAAATGATAAGATGTAAAATAGGTAGGACCAATAATTAACCTTTATGGAAATATCTATGAGTAAACACAATTAATCAACTAACACCACAGTAGACATGGCATGTAGGCCATCCTGGTATCAGTGGGTCAAGTTGCCATACATCATTAATCTATTGCAGACAGGGAATGTGATGTTCACTGTATTATTGTTTTGTAATACATATCTACACACAGATTGTTCCACATGGGTTCAATCACCAGGGAGTCACTTTATAGTCTACGTGACCTGTCATGATTTCCCCCATCCTTGAGTTTTCAGGAAACATGTTTTTCTTCCAAATGCTATTGATACTGATGTTGTTATCATTATCATTATCATTATTAACATTATAAATATTAGTGTTATCAATAATACTAACAGCAATTTAGAATAAAATAAGACTCTTCTGAAACTCAAGGAAAAGGGTAAACAGGTGAGACTGGTAGGAATAGTAATCAACTCCTTGGTGACTAAGCACTTGCATGTAAATATAATAAATAAACTAATCTCACCGTGGACACAGCATGTACATATATGCCATCCCCAGCTGATTAACCCATTGGTGGCAAGTATATACATTGCTCACTGTAGTTTGGTTTTGTTAATTTGGTTTACACAGAAATCCTTAAAATTGCTTGTCATCAAGGAATCAATTACTAGGCCTACTTGACATCATGTATGCAACTGCTTACACCTTTCACCAAAAATGTACTTATAAACTATTCAAATATAGGAATAAAATATCCTACAACTTCAAACTATTATGTGTACAACAGTAAAAAAAAAGGCATTGAAGGCCTGGAATATCAAAGGTACACAGCTAATGTTAGCTGAAACATGTCACATAAATGAAAAGAATATATAAATGTCTCTCAAAGGCAAATAGTTTCTGCATACATTAATCTATTTTTCTACAATTATTCATGCATATCAGTATCAGAGAAAATATGTGAGAATATGCTAAAAATGTTACTGCACTTGCAATTTTATTCGCCAATCCAAAATGAAAAGATGAGACTCGATAATTACCTTCCATGGACGGCCAACACCTCCAACTGCACCTTCAGGTAGGAAATCCCTTCTGCGTCCTCCCACACCAAGAAGGGACCTGGCTGAGGGCGACGAGGCCGGGCTCCTCGTGTTTTCTTCCACCATGTCACCTGCACCCCAATCCCTGCCACGCACACAGGAGGAGACGGGAATATCCCCCCTGCCTCCGGGACCCTCTCGTTGGCTGCAATCTGCAACGCACCCGACTGGACGATGTTGCTGAGGGGATGCAGGCTGCCATTGAGTTTGCTCAGGCCAGCATTTATGGTGCTTGTCACGCGGGGATCAATAGCTGCCGTGTCTGGGGCATCCGATACATTAATAAAGTTCAGGTGTATCTGCTTGTCCTCCTGGAAGCCTTTGAGCAGTGCAGGGTCAACCACGGTGCCCAGGAAGTCTTCGGCCGTCACCTGCGCCTCCCCTGCCTCCGAGTCACAGCCGCAGAAGTGCCTCACGCCCTCCAGGTTGTGAGGCACCCGAGTGCACACAATCACACTGTTGTAAGGACCTACATTATCGGGAAGGAGTTTGCTCTGCCCGCCCTTCGTCCTCCGCCTGTTCGTCTTCACGGGCGAGCTGATGTCCGGCCTGTCCCAGTTGTAGTCGAGGAGCACCTCTTGCAGAGCCTTCTTCAGAATGTAACAATGGGGCTTGCCAGGCTCCCCTGCCAGGGGCTGCTCGCTCGGCGCCTGCCTGCCGTCGAAGGCCTTGCAAAACCTGTCCGTGACGTCATTGTCAAACTCGTCGAAACTCGTCCTGTTGAAGTCGACGAAGCTCTTCCTGGCGGTGTCCGGCCTGAAGGCGAGGGAGTCGTAGTATTTGCAGGCCCAGCGCACCTCTTCGCAGCCCCGCTCAGTTCGCGCGCCGCACTCTGTCAGCACCTTGAGGCAGCCCAACTTCAGCCGCGCCACATTTCGCTCTAGTTCACGCTCGGTGCTCGATAGGCCCACGAAACTGTTCACGTCGATGAGGAACACAGCCTGGACAGACGAAAACATGCCAGAGAGCCGTATTTAGTCACCTAAACCTACTTAAATATCCTCCGTCCACATCACTTCAAGCCATTTGTTGCTTTAAACCGCGCTCAGGCTCACCACACTCCCCACCGCCAGCGACCCCGACTTTTTCCAGGAGGATGAAATGCTCTTACCGATGTTTTTCTTCTTTTTTTATCTTATTAATTCCATATGCTGTAAATATATTTAGATAGTTACTAGAGTTATTTATATAATATATATATAGGAATTTTGGACGTAATGATTACATTACGTAATTTAACAATCTTCTGGCTAATGCGTATATTCCAATATCATTCTGGTCGTGTTCGGGACTAATTTTTCTTTTTTAGGTGTCAATTTCAGTTCTAAATATATCTGCTGATATGTATTATCAACATGGTTTTGTAAACCCTAAAAAACTATAAAGTTGTTTTATTCCAGGTATTCGATGAGATTGTACACAAATTATCCTTTGTTTTACATCTTTGATCATAATAATTTAAAGTTTCAAAAAAACATACTGACGAAGCTTATTATCTTAATAATGTTCAATATTAGTATTAAAAATGATTATGATAAACATTTCAATCACTGGTAAATAAAGGAGTATAATAAGCCTTTAAAACGAGATTTACATATGCCAAATGCTCTAGGATTGTCATAAAGAAACAGATGCTAAAATCACCACGAGGTAAAAATATAAATCTAAACTTTATAGAATTATTATATAAAGAACTTGAAGTCTATTAGTACTCTAAATTTAGGATAATTTATCATTATTATAACTAATGTTTGAAACCTGGCACAACTGCAACAGCTGATTTTGCTTCATACTCGCTGCTCATTCAATTAATCAACATTTAAATATCGGACAAAATGGAAAATATGTGGATTGTATTACCTGTCATTTTCAACATAAAAAATATTTCTGAAACTGTTCGAGTCCAGAGTAATTTTACCTTCGTAATAATTAGATAAGAATTTAGTAGTTGGCATCTAGCAGTAAGCAGTCACATAAATACCCAAATCGGTAAACAAATGTCCTCAGTCCGATAGAAGACATGAAGGAAGTCAAATGCAATGGGTTTCTTCTCCTCTACGCCTCACAGAAGGGGAACGCGAAGGCCATAGCAGAGGACTTGGGAGAGCAGTGTCAATCCAAAGGCCTGAGCTATGAACTGAGATGTTGTAGTGAGATTGGCAAGAACTTCAGCCTGGAAGAAACTCGGTGTCTTGTGCTGGTTGGGTCCACGACGGGTGAGGCGAGGGGCTTTGGCAGGAGGGAAGGCATGACACTCCTGTCAGGTTATGACACTCCTGTCAGGTTCTGTTGCGTCATGAAGTGTCATTTTTGCTTTGCTTCCACACGGTATTCAGTCAGTGGTGGTGGTATTCTTGTTAAGATTTGCAATATTCCAATGGCACAAATTGTGGTTACATAATTTTTTTTTCTTACCTGACTGAAGTTTTTAAAGATATATATTGAATTTTACTTAAGATAACCATTATCATTGACAGTTTTGTTTACCCTCAAAACAGTGTTTAATTAAAGTTGCCCTGTCCCATTTTTAGTTTTTCAAAATCTATTCTGTAGTATTATTCAATAGTTCTCATTAACAAATGAATTTAATCTATTAGTATTTTTGAAAGAAATCACTGTTGAAGTTTACTCTGCAACTGACCCAAAGGTGAATCTATGCAAAACTAAGGGATGCCTGGATGACGTCATCACATCAGGCATCTGTGCCAATACCTACGCTATGTTTGATGTGGAATGGACTTATATTTACTCATATTTGCCTAACATTGTGGACAAAATGTGTTTTAATGCATTCACGAGGGAATAACACTTTATCATGTCATGGTAGACCACCCCTCACTCTGGGATGACATTTACACAACATGTGCAGTCAAGCCAGCTCTTAGTTGTGCACGCTAAACAGTTGTGCGCTTGTTTGGCCTGGCTGTGGTTCAGGAGAAACAGCACTGGGAGCTCCCATTGTCAGTGGGTTAAGGACAACTAAAAAGAGGCTTGAGTTAGTGCAAATAATTCAAATGTTTTGGCAGTGGACAGGGAAGCAAAGGAGACCTACAGGCAGATAAAGAGAGTAAATGCATAATTAACCCATTCGCGCCGCATAAAAATGAACAGAAAATGGGGAAAATGCTGTGCTCATTTTTTTATACTTTTAGTGAAATGTCTCTACAATAGATGGCTCTGCCTTACCTGATTTCATTTGGCGGGAAAACGTATTTCTTACTAGTGCTATGAATATCGATGGCTATTTTTATTATAAACATTATAATTACTATAATGTTACAAACATTAGTGATAGCAAAATAAGATAACGTAAAATGTTTTCGTAAATTAAAGAAAAGGGTAAACGGGTGAGACAGGCAGTACAAGTACAAGTGTAGCCATCTATGTGTAAAAACAATCAAACAAGTAAACTCACAGTGGGCATGTCACATATACGTGAGACCCGGTGCGAATGGGTTAAGTGAATGAGGGAAATAAATAAATGGAGTGAAAAGAAAGAGACTGTGAAGAATGAACAAGAGAAAAGGAATCACAAAAAAATAACCAATGAGAGAAAGAGAGAAAAAAAAAGAGAAAGAATAGATGAAGGGATGAAATAGAAGGAATAATTGAACAAATGAAAGTAAATGATAGTAAGGTAGAGACATAATGTAAATGAATGAAAAAGAGAGAGATAGAGACTGTTGCAGAAGGATACCTAAGAGATGGGCTAGGGATGTGCACTGGAGTGTTGTTGCAATATCATCAAGGATTTTTGCTTTTTCACTGAAACCCAGATTTGTTGCACAATTGTACAATTTTAAGGGATGCTGTCATCAAAAACTCATAATATTTATTTCAACTATTGATCAAATGAATTCTGTGATACCAAAGAGATGATTTTTTACAAAGAAATGAAGAATTGTTTCTTGGCTCTAGCCATTACCTTTAAACTATGATTAGCAGAAAGTAACATTAGGAAATGTTAAATGATACACCAGTTAAAAGAACCATCTAGTCAAGAATTGGCTAGATGGCCAAATTTTGACTATTTTGAGAATTATGTAGTGATACATTTCAGTCTTGAACAGGCTTCCCAACTAAAAATACGGGTATTCTCCCCTCACCCCCTCAAAAAAAAGTGATATATATGATATATATATGTATGTATGTATATATATTGCATTTATATGATATATTGTAAAATATGTGGTTATATATAATGGCTTTGTTTATAAATTTATCCAAATGTGGAAGCCATTCCTTTATAATTTTGAATGGATTTAGAAGTCAGGGTGTATTTGGTAAAACATTTTTTTCTTTTCTTTTCTTGTTTCTTAGCCCTTTTTCTGTATTTTTGGCTGCTTTAGTTAACCCCTTGCCGCTGAGGATGAGCCAATTACGAGTACAGCCTGTCTCACCCGTTCACCCTTTTCATCAATTTACGAAAATATTTAACGTTATCCTAATTTGCTGCTAAAAATAACACTATCTATATTTATAGCACTAGTAAGAATACATTTTTTCCCGCCAATTCAAGGGAAGGTGAAATCAGGACTAGAAGAGCCATCTATGGACAGAGATATTTCACAAAAATATAAAAAATGAGCACAGCATTTTCCCCATTTTCTATTCATTTTCCCCGGCAGCAACGGGTTAATTATTGTTTTCTTTGTAAAAGAAAAAAGGGGGGGGAGGGATTTCCCCAGTGTTTTTTCTAAGTAGCCCCCCCTCCCCCCAAGAAAAAGTGAAGCTGAAAAAAAATGACTTTAAAGAATACAGAGACTTGGGGGGGTATAATGTTTGCTAATAAAAGCAAGAAAAAAAAAAAAAAGTTTAAATGAGATGATATTGGAGTTGCATGTCTGGCAAGAAAAGAATTACTTGCAAAGGCTTTTCTCAGAAACTTTTCTATAGACTAGACAGTCCCTGTAATCTTGCAGAAACAATTGTAAAGACTTGGCATTTGACAGCTGTCATCTTTAAAGTAAAAAGAAACATTTTAGATGTATAGGTTAAAGCCATAAAATATCTATATGTAACATACTATTGCATATCTTGCAATCATAAGTTACAATCCCATTTTGCTAGTGCTTTGCCATGACTCAAATGTCAAATATCATTAAGCAACAGATAACTAGTTTGTTTTCTTTATATTTCTGATATTTTCATTATGACTATCAAATTTTTATATTGATATTGATGGTTGTTTTTATTGTGAATATAAGAATCAATGTAAAAAAGAATCAAACACCTTTTAGCACCCATTAAGATTTAGTAATACCAATATGAACTTGTTCCATTAACAATCCTTGTCTAACTGATGATGCTGTTGCAGGTGACGGCGAACCTCCAGACACAGCTCGCAAGTTCTGGCGTCAGCTGCACAAGAAAGGTCAACCTAGCAATGTCTTTGGTCACTTGTCTTATACCATACTAGGACTAGGTGACACCAATTACACTAACTTTTGTAATTTTGGCAAAACTGTTGATCAGAAGCTCCAGGATCTAGGTGGTAAAAGGTAAGACAAAGGGGTTTGACAGATTTTATTCTTAAATCAGATTGGTTTCTTATTGATAGTTTATGGAAGCATGAATGAGAAAATTATTTATATGTTATTATAAGTCATTTATGTGAATTTCTCACTTGTGCTGCAGTTCCTAAGTGCCACAGGCAAAGAATATATAAAGCTGACCATTAAATATTTCTATTTTCTTGTCTTTTTCTGCTAATATCATATTTACACTTGTGATTGTCTACAATGTACCCCTCTCGTGATTACACAATTTTCTTTTAACTTCTGCAGGTTTTATCCATGTGGATGGGCTGATGATGGCACTGGCCTCGAAATTGTGGTAGAACCGTGGATTGAGGGACTTTTTCCTGCACTACAAAAGCACTTCGACAAGATGGCTGAGGTGGTAGATGCATGTAATCAAGTAGCATTTGTAGATAACTCTAGCACTATGGAGCAAGTGAATACTAACAGGAAAAGTGTTAATAAGGACCCTACTAGTGATGATCCTTCTCTTTCTCAAAATGTTCCATCATTGAAAAACGAAGAGTCTTTAAAGGCTGAACATACTAACGAAGATAAAGAAATAAAAAGTACTTCACAGAACAGCAGTGATAATATTCTAAAGGGTGACATAGTAAGCGAAGATACTTACACCAAAATAGCCAAAAAATACAACTTAGATTTTTTGTCACGTGATGAATTGCAGTGCCTTCCAGTGAGATGTTGTACTTTACCTGCAGATGCAAAAGTAACCTTACCAGTTCTCCCGTCAGATTATTTGATGATAAAGTACTTGGAGAATAGTGAAAAGGAATCAGGCTCTGAACATGTACCAGCTTTACCCAGTGCTGCATCAGAATTAATTAAGACAAGTGTGACTTCTATTAGAAAATTAACACAACATAATTCAGTGAAAACTGCTCTTGAAGTTAGTCTAACAGTTCCTGAATCCATGAATAGCTTTGATTATGAGCCAGGAGACTCATTTGGGATCATTGTGCAGAATAGGGAAGAAGAGGTAGAACTCTTTCTCTCTTTGTTGGGTATTAGTGATGTAGCTGAAAAAACATATGAACTCTCAGTTGATCCAAACACCAAGAAGAAGGGGGCTGCAATACCAAAATATATACCTGTTAGGAGTTCTCTTCATTATGTTTTTCAGTCCTGTGTTGACATTAGATCAGTTCCTAAGAAACCTTTGTTGAGAATATTAGTCCAGTATACATCAGATCCCACAGAAAAGAGACGGTTGCAAGAACTAGTAAGTAAAGAATGTGCAAGTGAGTATGTAAAGTGTGTAAGGGAACAAGGGCTTACATTGTTAGATTTATTGTGTATTTTCCAAACATGTAAGCCGCCAGTTACAACACTCCTTGAGCATTTGCCACAGCTCCTACCCAGGGCATATTCAATCACTTCTTCCCCACTTGTTGATTCTAAAAAAATATCCTTTGTGTTTAATGTTGTTGATATGCCAAAAGAGAAGGCTACTACCTTTTCCAGGAAAGGCATTTGCACAGGCTGGCTTGCCTCTTTATACAAAACTGTTGAAATGTCTAAACTAGAAGAGTCTCTGGAAGTTCTGTCAATCAAAGACAAAGATCCAGTGTGTGTACCTATATACCTTCGGACCAATCAGAATTTCCGCCTCCCAGCAGATGCTTCAAGCCCAATTATAATGATTGGTCCAGGCACAGGAGTGGCACCATTTGTAGGTTTCCTACAGCATAAACATAAACTCCAGATAGATTCTCCAGACATCTCCCTTGGTGAATCTTGGCTCTTTTATGGATGCCGTCATGAAGAAAGAGATTATCTGTATCGTGAGGAGCTGGAAAAGTTCAGACATAGTAAAATCCTGAGTAATTTGATCGTCTCCTTCTCTCGAGACGATAGTCCTCCAGGCAGTCCAAGATATGTGCAAGACAATATTCTCAAGTATGGTGTGGAAATGGCATCATTGATTACTGATAAAGCAGCTATTGTTTATGTTTGTGGAGATGCACGCAACATGTCAAAGGATGTGTTTGACACTTTTGTTTCCATACTTAAGCAACACAGGGGCCTAACAGAAATTGAGGCAAGAAGATACATGGCACAAATGCAACTTGAAAAGAGATATTTACAGGATGTTTGGTCATAGTTTAGTTAATATATCATGTTTTGATGAGTAAATGTGTATATCTGATATTTGTTAATGAACTAAGTTGTTTTAATAGGTTTAATAGACTTATACATTTATATATGGAAGATGGATTTTTAAAATGTTATTTATATTTATATATATAGTGTATATACTATATATACTTGTGTATGTGCACATATTTATCTACATAAACACACATGTATGTATATACACACTCACATAACTCTATAGACATATGTATATTTATGTTTATTGATACAGATGTACAGATGTGCGTTTATGTTTATGTATGAATGAAAGTATAAATGTGGCTGTCCTTGCCGAAGTCATGTAAGTATTGGGGTCAGTTTTAAGTCAGGCTTTCTGAGGCAGACTTTCAGATAAATATTCAAAGCATTGGTGACATTAAGTTTCAAATAGCATCTTAGAAAATCTGGCTAGAACATCATTGGCTCTGGATTTTGAGTAATACTGGAGCAGAACCAGTCAGTTTGCTCATGCATCATAACCTTTACAACCTATCAGCTAACAGAGTACTTTTTGGCTCACCTGGCAGTATTGGTTGGTCTCGTTCTTTATCCTTTTGTCTGTTTCCCTATAACACTATTTCTGTTTCTCCTTTTCTCCATTTCTCCTTTTTTCCTTTTTCTCATTTTCTCCTTTTCTCCTTTTTCTCCCTTTTCTCCCTTTTCTCCCTCTCCCTGTCCCCTCCTTACCCCCTGTCCCCCCTCTCTCCCCTAGTCCCCTTCACTCCTTTTCCCTCTCCCTGTCCCCCTCCTTCTCTCTCCCTCTCCCTCTCCCCTCCCCTTCCATCTCCCCCTCACTCTTTCTCTCCTGTTCCATTTTATATGCTTCCCTCTGCTCATGTTTTGATTCAAGGTGAATATACCTAAATTCAATTGCAGTTTTCTTTGAATCCCAGTCATATCATTTGCCTCACAATTGCAGGTATATGTATATATGTTAGCCGTGTGCATGTAGGTATGTGATGGACCCCAGTTTTTACAGTTTTATAAAGGAGTGTATGATCATTTATTTTGTTGTGTATGTTTTGATAATTACATTGAATGAATTATTCAGGGAATAATAGCTTAATCATATTGTTTATATGTCTTTTGCTTAATGCAATTGGTGATTCATGGTTTCTATGATTTTTTAAAATAATGATTATAACAATAAACAGATTGTCAGTTGCATTAAGCTTATGGCTTTATAAGTGATCAACGAAACTTCTTTTAAATGTTAACTTGCCCTTTTTACATACATTTTTCTTGAAGATATATTGCAAATGCATTGAAATGATTTTGCTATTTTATATGGAAAAAAATATATGGTTTTGCTTTATATTGGATTGTATTATAAACTAAATTACATACCATTAATCATGATAATTGTTTTTTTAGTTTAACATTATTATTACTACAGAGTGCTCATAGAACATCAATTATCTGCATTTTATTGGTTTAATTTGATCTTACAAGAAATGATAAGGATGGCAGAAGATAGAAATTATAACAGAGGATAGTGTTTCACACTCAAGCACAAAAAGAATAAAGAAAGAAAGAACATTCATTCTCTCCCTCTCCCTCTCCCTCTCCCTCTCCCTCTGGGAGAAATCATATTTCATCAAAAGTATTAAAAACATTACCAGTGTTAGATATCTTTCAACCTGTTTTATCCTGCTTACCTCAAAGCAAATATATTTATATAGGAATAACAAAAAAATATATTGTGAGAAAGTAGTATATATTATCAAAGCTATGCATTACATCTTAAGGTCTAAATGGACAGAATATGAGCAGTATTGAAGCCCTGTGTGAACAACATGTTCTTTTTTTATTACTCAAGAATCTCATATTAATCATATTGGACTACATGCATTCAATAAATATACATGAGAATTAATGTAAAATTGGACATACTTATAATTATGGAGAGAAAGTCGTGCAGTCCATGTATAGCCACAAACTTGTTGATGATGGGTGGGCATTTGCACATGCCCTGTCCACTGTAAATGTATTCTATTAATTTTGCTTACACATAGATGGCTCTAGAAAGGCTGAGTCACTGAGCAATGTAATACAGGGCCTGCCCAATCCTATCTGCTTCTTCCTTGAATTTTCAGATTTTTTTTCAGTTACTATTAGTATTGTTGATATTTGTATAATAATAATAATTATTATTATTATATATTTTTTAGTTATTTTTACTATTATATTGATAAAAATAACAACCAGAAGTATAATTATCATAATTGTATTAGGACAGTATTTTTTTTCTTTTCTTTTCATCTTTTTTCTTTTCCCTTAAAATCAAAGGAATGGGGCAAATAGGTGAGGTTAGGTAGGCCTAGTGACCAAGTCCTTGTGAGTCCATCTATGTGTAAATAACAAAAAAAAACTACAGTGGGCAGTGCATGTACCAGGTGCGAACAGATGAACAAGACTTACAATAATAATGGTATAAGGGTGTCTTATCTATGTTATTTGGTCCACTGAAACATATTATTAACAATTACAGGAAGCGTGAACTCCAAATATAACATTTATATAACATTAAGCTTTTCTGAATGCATAACATTTCAGCTTGCTAAAAACACTGAACATGTAAAACTTGAAGCTTGACAGTTTTTGGATGACAGAATACAAGGACATTAAATATATCGGCTAATTTTCAGACTAATGAAATGCATCACAAAAGTTTTGATTTTTGTCATAATGTACAAGTCATTTCTTGCTAAACAGTGTTGTTTAATCTGACATTAATATTACTGCTTATACTTGCATTTTTCCAAATGAAAATTTTACGGGACTAAGACCAGTCATATAAATCAGTTTAATACAGTCTGGATGGTAACCTTTAGATCCTGTCTGCAAGATTTAACCCATTGGTCCCTGGTACATGGAGTGTCCACTGTATTATTTTATTACTCTTTTTAAATAACATTAATGGCTTCAAATCAAATACTAAGCCTACCTGATCTCACCTGCTTACCCATTCCTTGAGTTGTAAGGAAAAATGATATTGTTTCTATGACTGTTATGAACAATATTAATTTCATTATTTGTATCATTATCATCATGATTATTAAAGTGTGATTAACAGTTAAAAAACATGATAATAATGAGTATAAAACACTTCTTTCTGAAGATTACAGGAACTGGGTAAGGTCAGGTAGGCCTGGTAATTCATTCCTTGGTGATAAGTGGTTCTGGAGCCATCTACGTGTAAACAAAATTAATATAAACAAACTACAGTAGACAGAGTAGTACATGTACACAACCACACCAGGCATCAGTAGGTTAAACTAACATTCTCTCTCTCTCTCTCTCTCTCTCTCTCTCTCTCTCTCTCTCTCTCTCTCTCTCTCTCTCTCTCTCTCTCTCTCTCTCTCTCTCTCTCTCTCTCTCTCTCTCTCTCTCTCTCTCTCTCTCTCTCTCTCTCTCTCTCTCTCTCTCTCTCTCTCTCTCTCTCTCTCTCTCTCTCTCTCTCTCTCTCTCTCTCTCTCTCTCTCTCTCTCTCTCTCTCTCTCTCTCTCTCTCTCTCTCTCTCTCTCTCTCTCTCTCTCTCTCTCTCTCTCTCTCTCTCTCTCTCTCTCTCTCTCTCTCTCTCTCTCTCTCTCTCTCTCTCTCTCTCTCTCTCTCTCTCTCTCTCTCTCTCTCTCTCTCTCTCTCTCTCTCTCTCTCTCTCTCTCTCTCTCTCTCTCTCTCTCTCTCTCTCTCTCTCTCTCTCTCTCTCTCTCTCTCTCTCTCTCTCTCTCTCTCTCTCTCTCTCTCTCTCTCTCTCTCTCTCTCTCTCTCTCTCTCTCTCTCTCTCTCTCTCTCTCTCTCTCTCTCTCTCTCTCTCTCTCTCTCTCTCTCTCTCTCTCTCTCTCTCTCTCTCTCTCTCTCTCTCTCTCTCTCTCTCTCTCTCTCTCTCTCTCTCTCTCTCTCTCTCTCTCTCTCTCTCTCTCTCTCTCTCTCTCTCTCTCTCTCTCTCTCTCTCTCTCTCTCTCTCTCTCTCTCTCTCTCTCTCTCTCTCTCTCTCTCTCTCTCTCTCTCTCTCTCTCTCTCTCTCTCTCTCTCTCTCTCTCTCTCTCTCTCTCTCTCTCTCTCTCTCTCTCTCTCTCTCTCTCTCTCTCTCTCTCTCTCTCTCTCTCTCTCTCTCTCTCTCTCTCTCTCTCTCTCTCTCTCTCTCTCTCTCTCTCTCTCTCTCTCTCTCTCTCTCTCTCTCTCTCTCTCTCTCTCTCTCTCTCTCTCTCTCTCTCTCTCTCTCTCTCTCTCTCTCTCTCTCTCTCTCTCTCTCTCTCTCTCTCTCTCTCTCTCTCTCTCTCTCTCTCTCTCTCTCTCTCTCTCTCTCTCTCTCTCTCTCTCTCTCTCTCTCTCTCTCTCTCTCTCTCTCTCTCTCTCTCTCTCTCTCTCTCTCTCTCTCTCTCTCTCTCTCTCTCTCTCTCTCTCTCTCTCTCTCTCTCTCTCTCTCTCTCTCTCTCTCTCTCTCTCTCTCTCTCTCTCTCTCTCTCTCTCTCTCTCTCTCTCTCTCTCTCTCTCTCTCTCTCTCTCTCTCTCTCTCTCTCTCTCTCTCTCTCTCTCTCTCTCTCTCTCTCTCTCTCTCTCTCTCTCTCTCTCTCTCTCTCTCTCTCTCTCTCTCTCTCTCTCTCTCTCTCTCTCTCTCTCTCTCTCTCTCTCTCTCTCTCTCTCTCTCTCTCTCTCTCTCTCTCTCTCTCTCTCTCTCTCTCTCTCTCTCTCTCTCTCTCTCTCTCTCTCTCTCTCTCTCTCTCTCTCTCTCTCTCTCTCTCTCTCTCTCTCTCTCTCTCTCTCTCTCTCTCTCTCTCTCTCTCTTTTTTATAAACTCCAAATTTATTGCACCAATGATGGATAGTATGTCTTTTTTTTTTAATGGATAATGTGAATGATGACATAAATTCATCTGATGACTGAGCTTACTTTCCAATGGTATTTAAATATTGATATTTATTTACACATATGATATTTTAAGCCACTCATGATGGGATTTCCCTTAACCATACTCAGTCATGCGCCGGGTTTCATGTGCAGTCAGCTGCTCAAGTCCAAAATGACATTTACCATGCTTTTACACTTGCTTATGTGTGCACTATATTTTAGGACTTTTGAGGGGCTGTATCTCATTGAAATTAATTGGGATAAGAAAACGAACAACAACAACTATTTAGTGTGTACAAGTTACAGCCCTCCATCTAGGACTTGATCAGATGTCATCCAGCATGAGTGGGTTAAATGTTACAGAAACAAAAAAATTTAACAACTTTGATTTAACACAAGTATATCTGAAAAGACTTTGCATACACTGTAGAATGACATGAAAAGATGCAGGAAGAAAATTGTACAAAATATAAGTAACTTTTTTCAGTAGAGGTCAAACAAAATTGTAAATACAAAAATACCTTCAGTGAAAGTAGATAACAGAGACAGGGGTGTGTGTGTGTGTGTGTGTGTGTGTGTGTGTGTGTGTGTGTGTGTGTGTGTGTGTGTGTGTGTGTGTGTGTGTGTGTGTGTGTGTGTGTGTGTGTGTGTGTGTGTGTGTGTGTGAACATGTATGTGTATGTAATATATATATATATATATATATATATATATATATATATATATATATATATATATATATATATATATATATATATATATATATATACATAATGTATATATATATATGTATAAGATGTATATATACTATATATAAATATATATATAAAAAAAAATATATATATATATATATATACATATATATATATATATATGTATATATATATATATATATATATATATATATATATATATATATATATATATATATATATATATATATATATATTATATTATATATATATGTATGTATGTATATGTTTAAATATACGTATATATATATATATATATATATATATATATATATATATATATATATATATATATATATATATATATATATATGAATGACAGCCTCTAAATCTTGGAGATGCTGTAAATATGGCATTGAGATACTATAAGCATATCTAAAAGCATTACACAGTTGACAAAGCATATGCTTTTATTAATCTTTGCATATTTGTAAGTTCGCTTAAGTGATTACAGCAAAATTTTCTAATTAGATCTATAAACATAACAAATAAAAATACTCCTTTGTAACTAATATGACACCACATAAATATTGACAGAATTTTTTTTTTTTTTTAATATATAAATATTACATTATCTTCCTGAAGAAGCACTAGTCACTGCTTCATTTTTTCCTTTCTATTTAAACTACAATTATAAATCAAGCCAAGATTCTGTTTGAGATTTCTATAGCTAGATATTATAACAAACTACAACAATATCTTGTGGAATACTTACTTTTAAAGAGCTAGTCAGATCATTTTCAAATAACCAGTACTTATTCACAGCCAGCAAGGTTAACAGTAAATGAAAAATAAACCCATTTTCTTAAAGCATTGTTGCCTGCACTATATGCCACTTTTTGTGCCAATACCAGCCTCTACCAGAATTAACCAAAAAGGTACACTGTTATGTGCTGGTGAATATCTAATCAATTAATCCATAAAAATCTTTGATAACCTACTTTAAGGGTCTACTATTTTTGGCAAGATCCATAAACATTCTGGTTGGGCAAAATCACCTTGACATATTGATTAGCTATTCTCACATGAAGCCAACAATTTCCTGCTGCCAACCTTCGATTTGATCCTCCGTAAAATGCCTCTTACTCTACTGACTCTGGTATTTCAGTATTGTCAACGATAAGTGAGTGAATGATGCCTTCCCTTCGGTTGCCACTGCTCACAGCCTTTATGTATGCTGGATGGCCTCCAAGATCGAAGTGAGTTTCAGTGCCATCGTCTACAAACTCACCCTTAAGGAAAGAAGTAATTTTTTTAGTAAAAATAATATTGATACTACTTGCATATAATTGATATATATATACTGTCCTAAAAAGTAATTGTTTTATCAAAAATGGGTGTTCTTTGAACAGTGGTAATTAACATAACTCTATAGTCATATGATCAAGAAATTGACTTAAAATGTGATACCTATTGGACACATTATATGTTGTAGTATATAGCATCCCACTCCTAAAAATAATTGAAAGCACATTATTTAACTCCCGAGCTGCTTTTCTTATTAGTTAAATATTTAGAATTAACTACATTAATATTATTTAAATATCTAGTTACTGAATTGGTGCATTATTAATTTATTCAGATTAACTCATTTACTTATTTGAATTATATTTAAATTTTACTTTTAATATTCAGATTCTGTACAGTGAGTTCACATTTCTAACAATCTAGAAATAGAATCATTATGGGTATGCAATTTAAATCATGGAAAATAGAGAATGGGGTCTGGGGGAATCTATTGCCATCAGTGAGACATAATTTCCACTTTTCTTTACTTAAGTACTTAACTTACTTTATAATGACACTTAGAAAATAATTGTTCCACGTAATGGCATCTATTGGTCACCTTAACAAAACATATACAAAAATAGTATAGTACAGTATAGTAAAAAATGTATAGTACAAAAATAGAATTGATCACATATATATTGAAAAGTATTGTGGATATTGTAATCTGTAGAATTCACTATGAATGCAAGGAAGTGGATTAGTTCTCAATGCAACACCTTATACAGCATCAGTCTTTCTGTGACATCTTTTCAAAAACATGGACTGAATAGGAAATAAACAAGATCAGAATTATGAAATTTTGCAAATAACTGTACTTACTGCAGTATCTAATTTCTTCCCATTAACCCAAACATCCAAAGTGTCTTTCTCCAGGACCACTCGCATGTATGAACCTTCCAGTGGCAACAGCCATGTCTTCAGTATTTTACTCTGGTTCTCTGTAAACTTCTTATAACTTTTGCCATTTACCTGAAAGGGATTGTTAAGATGAGTCTCAGATCTGCTATTTATGTGCTAAGACGTTACAAGAATATTTCACTAACCATGATATTTAATGATCTTACCTCAAGGGAGTATTCATAAGAGAAACCTCCAACAGGTTCAATTTTGATAACACATTTAGTGTCACCAATTTGAAATACTTCTGAGCCAACTAACTTGAACATCCAGTCATGATGAACCTTTTCCTGAAAAATAATATATAAATCAATGACATGTTTTTCATAGAACTGACTAGTGAATCGCTCACTCGGGCTCTCTCTCTCTCTCTCTCTCTCTCTCTCTCCTCTCTTCGTCGATCTCTCTCTCTCTCTCTCTCTCTCTCTCTCTCTCTCTCTCTCTCTCTCTCTCTCTCTCTCTCTCTCTCTCTCTCTCTCTCTCTCTCTCTCTCTCTCCTCTCATCTCTCTCTCCTCCCCCGTCCTCTCTCTCTCTCTCCTCTCTCCCCCGTCCTCTCTCTCTCTCATCCTCTCTCTCTCTCTCCCCAGTCCTCTCTCTCTCCCCCCGTCCTCTCTCTCTCTCCTTCTCTCTCTCTCCCCGGTCCTCTCTCTCTCTCTCCCCCGTCCTCGCTCTCCTCTCTCTCTCTCCCCCCGTCCTCTCTCCTCTCTCCCCCGTCCCTCTCTCTCTCTCTCCTCTCCCCCCGTCCTCTCTCCTCTCTTCTCTCTCTCCCCCGTCCTCGCTCTCTCTCTCTCTCTCCGTCCTCGCTCTCTCTCTCTCTCTCTCTCCCGTCCTCCGCTCTCTCTCTCTCTCCCGTCCTCGCTCTCTCTCTCTCTCCCTCCTCTCTCTCTTCTCCCCCGTCCTCGCTCTCTCCCTCTCCCCCGTCCTCCGCTCTCTCTCTCTCCTCCCCCGTCCTCTCTCTCTCCTCTCTCTCTCTCCTCCCCGTCCTCTCTCACTCTCTCTCCCCGTCCTCTCTCTTCTCTCTCTCTCTCTCTCCTCTCCCCCGTCCTCTCCTCTCTCTCTCTCATCTCTCTCTCTCCCTCTCTCTCTCTTCTCTCTCTCCTCTCTCTC